TTTTTCCCCCCAAATCCCCAGTAGATAGTTGTATGTCATAGCTGCACATTCTTCTAGTTGCTGTATGTGGGACGCAGCCTCAGCGTGGCCGGAGAAGCTGTGTCAGTGCGCGCCTGGGATCCGAACCCGGGCCGCCAGCAGCAGAGCGCACGCACTTAACCACTAAGCCACAGGGCCGGCCCATAGGTTAGGTATATTAAATGCATTTTCGACTTATGATATTTTCAACTTACAATGGGTTTATCAGGACATAACCGCATCATGAGTCAAGGAAGATCTGTATTTGAGATAGTGAATACATTTATAAATTCCTAGGATTGCATTCAGTTTCACATTTTTTGGATAATTCGGTTTTTTTGTGGAAAGCTTAAAGGAATTTTGAAGAAAATGAATAATTCAACTTTTACTAATAGGTGACTGCCCACTTCACAGAAGACTTCTCACTGAATTCTGCAATTTCTCATCTGATGGGACTCAGCAGTGCCCTCTTGGTAAGTGGCCTGTCTGTCCTCATTGGCTGGTAGCAGAGGAGGGAGGGTGGCTTCCAGCCACGTGGTGAGGTGGCCTGCAGGATCCCAGGTCAGGGACAGCAAGCAGCACCACAGCATCGCCTCCTCGGTGTGGCTCTGTTATCTTAAAGAAGCATTTTTTCCATAGTCACAACCTAGTTGTATAGCTGGAAGTTTCTTGAAGATTGTCTGGCCTGAACCCCCTCCCGCTCTACCCCCATATTTTGCAGATGAAGACACTGAGACCCAGGGAGGTTAGATGACGTGTCTGGTTGATAAGTGGTGAATTCAGGAGCAAACTCGGGCCCCCCTGTCTTCTAGCTCTGCTCTTCATCTCTCACAGATCATCACATGATCTGTGATGCTGCCTTGGCATCTTTAACATTGTACATTCATTTAACCTAGAGGGATCAGATTTGTTCTCGCTGAAAACAAAAGCCAGCCTTCCAGTAGAGACTCATCTTCTTGGTGCAGGTGACTGTTGTTCCTCTTGCCAGGGGAAGGATCTGTCAACAAATGAGCTTGGGCAAGTGGTTATCTGTTTGGACACAAAAAACAAAAATGTGTGTTCAAACTATTAACAAATGCTTTTTGTAATGAAACCCTCTCCAAACTTTAAGAACAATGGAAGAAATTTACATAAAACTTAGCATTTTCAGTATACTAAAACATGCCATATTAAAAGATAGATCCAAACTAAGGAAAACATTTATAATAAATTCGTCAGACAAAGGCTTAAATCTCTAATATATAAAGAGCTATTAGGTATTAATATAAAAATAGTTAACCTAGAAATCGTCAAAGGATATAAAAGGATAATTCACAGAAGATAAGATAGAAATAGCCAATAAACTTGTGGAGGAAAAAAACCTGCCTCACTCACTAAGTATCATGAAATGCAAATTAAAAATGAGATGCTATTTTTTTACTCGTTAAAATTGCAGAGAGTTTTTAGTATAACTCTTCTCCATGCTCTTGCAAGGGCAGTGAGACAGGTCCTCAGGCACCAGTGATGGGCGTGTTTGGTGTAACCTCACCAGGAAGCACCCCAGCTGAGGTCGGTAGGTAGCCCTGGGATTGTTTATATCCTCTGACCATTGGCAGGGGTGTTCATTGGCAGATGATTTATAATCACAGAGACTTGGAAGCCCAAATGTCCTCCAATGGGGAAATGGTGAAATGATTTATGTCATATCAATAAGAAGGAAATGTGCCACCACCATTAACATCATGTCTTCCAAGAAAACTTAATGTCAGAAACTGTTCATGACATAACGTTAAGTAAAAACAGAACATAAAAGTGTCCATATGGTAAAACCTCCAATCATGAAAATGTTTTGCGTTTGAGTGTGTATATTCACATATTTTTGCATTTTTGGAGAGTGGAATAAAATACACTTGTTTTTTTCTGGGTGGTACAATTATGAGTGGTTTTATATTTCCAAAATTTTCTGTGCTGAGTGTGTGTAATTTTTTTAATCATGAAAAAGAGGCAAATATTATAGAAAAATTAAATTAAAAAATAAAGTTTCTGCTCCTTGGCAGCTAGTTCCGTCCACAGCCCTTCCGGTCAACTTTCTTTGTACCCTTACCCGTGAAGTTTTTATTGTAACTTCCTTGGGGTGCCTTGAGAACTGCCGGCCTCCATGAGATCCTTGAGCAACATTTTTCCTTCCTGGCCATTCTTTGACTCACACCCAGCTGCGCTGACCACCCTCCCTCCCCACCAGCCCCTGTGGCATCCTTGATTCATTTGTCCATTTCTTCTCCAACTGTCTGTAAGCTCCTTGAGGGCAGAGACTGTGCCCTTCTGGACGTTTTATCCCTAAAGCCTGGCGTGTAGTAGGTACCCCGTAAATTGAATGGGTGTGGCTGGGTTAACTGGCTATACCTCAGGGAGAAACTGAGTTTTTGCAGTAACTGGCAACACTGTTTAAGAGAATGGGGACCCCTGAGATCCCTGAGTTGGGCAGGAGGACCCCTGCTGTGGGGGTTCCACATTGCAAAACCTTTGAGCAAGTCTCTGCATTTGGTCCTGCAGCACACAGGAAACCTGGCAGCGTGGTTGAGTGTAACTCAGAATGAAGAGCAGCTGGATTCTCATCGGGGCTCTGTCAGTTGGTTAACCGTGTACCCAGGGGCAGATTCCCCTCCTTCTCTGATCCTTAGCTGCTTCATCTGCCAAATGGGATAAAAATATCACCCTCAAAGGGTAGTTGTGAGAACTGAGTTAGCATGAGACAGAGGGCGCAGTAAATGCTCAGTTCATAGTAAGATGTTTGTTGCTGCTGCTGCAGCTATTTTTAATACTCGGAGTCAATGGGGAAAGTTCTTTGTCCAGAGCAACATGGATGGTAACAAGGGTCTCTTCCTCCCTGCTTGTGTCTCTGGGCCACAGCCATGTTGTGCCCTTTCTCACCTCTGCTTGTTTTGCCCGCCTCGGTATTCTTACACTGTTGTTCTTCTCTCTGCCTCAGCAAGCTCCTCAGAGAGTTGTTCTCCACAGCCCCGAGTTTGAAGACGCTCTGTGTGCCCTGATTGTGATGGCTGCCCCGATGGCCCCTCACGTAACCTCGGAGCTCTGGGCAGGTAGGTGGGGAGCCCTTGTTTGCCCAGTTTCTCTAACCAGGATGTGCTCGAGCCTCTCGTTGAACATTATTCAGGACATAGACGTCCTCAGCCATGGGGTCCAGGTTTGGCATCTACACTCGGGACCTCTCTGTCTTATACTCTGAATGGTGGCACTTTTTCAACGTGGTCACCCCTGTTGAAAGGAGACACTTCCCCACTTTGGAACAGTGTGCCCGGACTAATGTGAATATTGATGTCACTACAGAACATTCTTTCTCGTAGTTCAGCCTCCTGGTATCCACATAGCATGACCCCATATTATCTTTTTAAGGTGGAAACTCATGTTTAGTCCCACTTGACAGATGGAGAAAAGGGCACCTGGAATAACATTGCAGATCTAAAATTGACTCATTTAGACTGTGATTCAGTCCTCTCCACCAAACCATTATCCTAAAGTAGGCACTGAGCAGGTCTGACTCACTTGGGTTAAATGTGGCCTCTGCCCCACCCCATCCTTGGCGATCTTAATTCTGGGGCTCTGGGAGGTGGCCAGAGAATCTTTGTTTTAGCCAGCTCCTGGGTGGTTCTGATGCACAGGCAAGTGGGGGACTGTGGCCCTCAACTGTAAGACCTGGCTCTCAGATGACAGCCTACAACGGGACTTCACTGTGCTTCCTCTCTTAGGGCAGCCTCTTGAAAACAATTTACAGGGCTCGTTGGTGATTCTAAAAAGCCATCGCTAGAAATACCTATGTCCTTCCTTTTGAGAAATAATTTAAACATTCTTTACATTAAACTATTGGCTTTAACTGTTAATTCTTTCTTTTCCTTTTTCTCATCTCTACTTTTTGTTTTACTATATTTTACTACGGAACTACTTTTTTAAATGGTATGAGGTTTATAGTCTCTTCCTTTGTTAGAAGAAAAAGAATATAATTCATTTGCCATTAAATCATTTTGCCCAAATTATTCTCAGTCCTGTTAAGAAAGCTAGTGCGGTGTTGGAGTGTTTCACTGCAGCGCCGTGGGTTCTAGATCCTGGCAGGTGCAGAAGGGTGATTGCTTTCCCGTGTCCCCAGCAGTTGGCCCAGTGTGGAAATAGAATGAAGTGAGAAGATGCTGTGCAGGAGGACTTGATGATGGCTGTACTGGGCCTGGTTCTCCAAACCTAGTATCCAGTGGTCTCCCGTGACTTCTGTGGTCGTGTTAGAGGAGCTTGCAAGAGACAGGCAGCCTAGAACCCTGCATTTACATAATGCTTTTATCTGGGGGCCTCTGAGAAGTAGCAAACCTCACAGCAACCCTTCCCGAACATCTCAACCAAAAGCCATGAGATGTTATATGGATAGCATCAATTCATCAAATAAGTACCGTTCACCACTGACTCTATACAAAAAAGTCATTGAATAGAAGCTCCCTGTTAAAGTCTTTCAAAGATTAAAGCGAGGTGAAAAGACAAGGAACTGCAAGAAGGAAGTGATGACATTTGTGCTTCCAAGTAAGAGGAGAGAAGGGGTGTCTTTACTGGCTCAAAATAAGGAGAAAGCCCTTGTTGGATATGTGGTTCTTTTATGAATTTTTGAGCCCTATGACAGCTGGCCCACATCTCTTTCGCCTCCATTGTACCCCCCAGGCCTGCCACAGTACCTGGCACTCAATAAGAGGCTGGATACACACTGAAAAGGACCCTCTTTTCAAAAAATGATTCTATTCATTGCTAGTGTCTATATCAATCTGGTTACTTGATTCTTTTTTTTTTTTTCCTGTGAGGAAGATCAGCCCTGTCTAACATCTGCCAATCCTACTCTTTTTTTTTGCTGAGGAAGACTGGCCCTGGGCTAACATCCGTGCCCATCTTCCTCCACTTTATATGGGACGCTGCCACAGCCTGGTTTGCCAAACAGTGCGTCAGTGCACACCCGGGATCCGAACCGGCGAACCCCAGGCCACCGCAGCTGAGCGCGCGCACTTAACCACTTGCGCCACCTGGCCGGCCCTACTTGATTCTTTTAAACCTAGAGGCCTTATTGCCTTTGTAAACTTAAACATTTAGAGCTGTCTTAATAATAAGTCATTTTTTGCTTTGGATTTTTCAATTATTTCAGAAGTGATACATGTTAATTATAGAAAATAATAAAGGAATGATGAGTCTCCTTTTTATAAAATCTTCTGCAATAGACCTCAATCCTCCCTTAGATTTGGGCTTTAAGGGTGTTGAGCAAGTTTAGGTAAGGGTTTAGAAAAGTCCATTTCTACTTCAGTGGGTCCAGCCCCTAGAACTCTCCCCACATGAGGAGAACTGCGGCCCAGAGAGAGTCGGGGACCTCACATTGTTCTCAAGTTGGGATTGGGTCAAACATAGAGGAATAGACAAGTGATGTGATTGGGCTCCTAAGGGGTCATGCATGAGCGAGTCTTCAGACATTTCTAGAAGTAGTCCATCTGAAATGCATTTGACTTGGCAGTTCCACTTATATAAAAGATCTCTCCTAACTAAACTTACTGATGTGGTGTCACAGAAAAGAAATGTGGGCTAATCGGTGAGGGAACCAAGAGTCACAGTGTAAGGTTGGGTGATGAGAAGAATTTAAAGATTGTTTGAAATTTCTGCAACCGAAGTAGTCTTATGACTGGAAATTGTGGTAGGATTTTTAGTTGGCAGAGTAGTGCCCATATCCATCAGAAAGGTTTGTTTATGTCCTTCTATTTTAAAAGGTAGTTCTTTGTTTTAAGGGAGTTGTTGGAAATTGGGCACTACAGCCTCTCTCAGAGTTGCTTCATAATTCCTCAGGAAGAGGAGGGAGCATTATTTCCTTTTATTTTCTAGCTAAGATGAGACAGTTATTTTCCAGTGTCCCCTTTTTTACAATATCAGCAAGTCGCCTCCGTCAAAAGGGAAGTGTTTTTCATCCCTTAAGGAAAAGGAGGGGGCAGTCTGGTGGCGTAGTGCTTAAGTGTCCGTGCTCCGCTGCGGCGGCCCGGGGTTCGGATCCCAGGCGCGCACCGACGCACTGCTTGTCAAGCCATGCTGTGGCGGCGTCCCATATAAAGTGGAGGAAGATGGGCATGGATGTTAGCCCAGGGCCAGTCTTCCTCAGCAAAAAGAGGAGGATTGGCAGGTGTTAGCTCAGGGCTGATCTTCCACACAAAAAAAGAAAAGGAAAAGGAGGACCTGTTTACTTGCTGTCATTGTAAAGCCGTGAGCTTAATTTGGATTTTAGCCTTTTTGGTATCTAATGCCTCTTTAAAATGTTTAGCCAAATGCTGAAGTTCATGCAGTGCAGTGATTTACCAGCCAAAATTTTACGTACCATATCTACGATTTTTGGCTTTAAATATCCACCCAAAAAATGGAAAGGGCATTGGAAATGTCCACAATGTCCACATCAGGAACGAATCCTGAAAACTGTCTAAAGATGCTGATAGGTCTGTCTCTGAAGTCTCTCATGGATTTATTCTTTGCTGCTTGAAAGATTGAATCAAAGTCCAGTTTGCTTTAACAGGAAAAATCTGTGGTATAGGTCCCAAAGATCTTGCTTTAAGGTATTCTGATTGAGTAAAAATGTATTTCATTATGTTTTAAGTCACTTTCTAGGGCTTTCCAATTAGCCTTTTCTAAACAAGATTTTGCATCTCCTGGCCCCTGGAACAGGTGGATTCGTTGGTAGAGGTCGGAGAGCCTGGGCTAGGTGTGTCTAAGACAAGTCTAAATTCTTTAATGAATTTGTCTTTTCCCGTTCTGGGATTTGAGAAGTCCCTAAGAACAGCATGGAGATCTGAACACGACGAGGGATTGAAATCTACACGCCAGGCAGTGACAGGGTCCCCCTTAGGAGGGTTTGCAATGTAAGTGACAATGAGGTAGTGATTTAGAAGAAGAGGGAGTGATTATAAGGACTTCATGAGGGTTGAACAAAGTTCTAAGGGAGAAGGCAAGGGAGGTAAGGAAAGATAAGAAAAACTGGAACAGATTTTCCGTGGATTTGCAAGGAAGACAGCTTTTTAAGTTTCTCACATTTGTGTTAGTTTTAGCTAAAGAATCTTTCATGGAGGCAATTTTCAAGTTTGAATTGTGTTTAGAAGCTTCTTCATGCCAATTAAAGCACACCATGGGAAAGTCAGAAATTTCTCTTTTTTGTCCTAAGGCACCTCTCAAATAAACAATTTTGTTCATATCAAAAGTTTCCCAAAGTGGCCACTGTAATTCCAAATTGTCTCTGGTGAAATTTGTGCCAGTTAAAAAGACATGCACAGGAGTGAGTGATACAGTGAGAAAACGTAAAGAAAGGAAGCACTCGGCCTAGAGGAGGCACAGTTTTAGGTTAATAAGACGAGAACTGTAATGCGTCCGTAGGTTGGTGCTTACGTAACTTCGTGTCTTGGAGCTTGTCAAAGCCCGGTCATTGTAATCAGGGGCTGGACAAAATCTCCTGGTTCCAGGCAGACAAAACTGAAATAAAAGCAGTTCTCAGGAACACAAGAACAAGACTGAGGAAGAAGGCCTCATAAGGTTTTTGAAATAGTGACTTGGGGCAAAGTTTGTCCACAGGACAGGGGTCTGAGAAGAAACCTACTGAGCAGCTCAGCCCCCAGGGCCAGCTCAAGGATGGTCTTAGGGGACCCATGCCAGTCCTCTCCCAGTAGACTTTTCCTCTTGGAGACAAACAGCATCCAAGATACTACACAAGCAGATAGACAAGATGTCAGACGAGCAGGTGTGAGATGCTAGAAAACAGTTTTGCCAAAGAACAATACAATTCTGATTAGAAAACCAAAATCTCAAAGATGGACCTATTCCTAAGAAAACAAACGCAACACTGAAAGGCTTCAACAGAGTCCTAGAGCTCAGTTCAGCGTGTGCTTAGTCCCCGGCCAAGGGTGGGTGGCGCGTCAGGCAGGTAGAGATGCAGGGTCTCAGGTGTGCACACTTTTTCTGAGTCAGGAGTGTCGGTCCAAGGCAGTGAGGGTCTCAGCGAAAATTCGGTGAACCTGCGGTTCTGTCGGCGTCCTCCAGCCAG